GCTCCCTGTAATTTCCTGATCCCCGCAGCTCCTGGTGCCTTGCTGCTTTATTCGGGAGTTAAACTGGGTGGGCTTCCACCAGCAGGTGAGCTGTTTCCCAGCGTGGCAGTCTTTTCTTTCTTGGAAACTTTGCACTTTGGGAGATACTTTGCACTTGCCTCCGTTGCGCCTTGGGCTAATCAGTATGCCGCTTGAAACTATTTAAAGCCTGATGCATTAGTCACAACAAATCTGCTCCCGCTGGGAGCTGAAAAGACTGAACAGGGCGCCAGTTTCTTTTTGGTAAGTGCAGTCTGTTTTCCCCCTCACGTCATTTGTGCCCGGCTCCTTGGATTCCTTGGACTTCAGGCCCAGAGTCTCTTTGCTGAGTTGTCCCTGATGCTGGACAAGCTGCCAAGGGTTGGTCAGGGCACCTTTGAAAACCTTTCTGAGGACAAGGGCCACGGGCTCAGGCAGGGCAGGGGGGCAGAGCAGGAGGGGCCGTGAGGCCTGGCTGATCCATAGACTCAGCGAATACGCCACGCCAGCTGGAAGCCGTTGGAAAGGCCTCCCCGCTCTGACACGCCCCCACAAACGCCGGGCGATTTTGATGTGCCTTGAAGCTGGGAGAGCATGAGAACTTTGGGCCTGCCCTAGTGGCACAAGCCACAGGTTCCATCTGCCTTTGTGGCTTTGCCAAACCCTCAACTGGCCTATAAGGGGAGCGGGCTTGGGAGAGACACAGTTGGCCTCAGCGAGTGTGCAGAGGGCTCAGGCTTCCATTTATTTTGAGCAGGGATCCTCAAGCAGCAAGCATGGTTTCTCCACATGGGGCCTAACGATGTCTTCAGATTCTGTCTGGGGCTGTAGGTTGGGCGAGGAGCAAGGGTAGTGTGACAAGAGGAGAGTTTGGATTCCTGAATCAGAGGCCTTCTGTCCTCTGTTCTGGGAGATCCCTCTAGCTGTGGGCTCCCAGGCAAGCAGCTCTGAGCCTAAAGAGTGGGTAATTCCTGGCCCTCAGCGGGGTTTCAGAAGCACGAATGGGAGGATTTATGGAAAAGTGCTTTGCAGGCTATAGGGTGTGCAGGGGGGAGTATAACAGAACTTGTGGGGCCCTCTCCCTGGTGCATAGTAATAGCTTACCTTTATGGAGGGCGCAATATGCGCTGGAGGGTCTGCTGAATACTTCCCATGGATCGTTTTATGTAATCCACACAGGGGCCAAGGAGTTAGTACCATTATTATCCCTCCTGTATAGATGAGGAAACCGTGGCTGAGAGGTTCAATCACTTGCTGAAGGCCAAAAGCTAAGTAGTTGTGAGGACTCCATTCACACTCCGGGGCCTGCAGGCTTGAGCCCCGGTCTATGCTGCCTCTCTCAATGCAGTAAGAATTTTTAAACTCACTGTTATCGGGACCTAGTCTTGACAAACCCTGAAAATCCATGGTCCCTCATCATCACGGCAGCCTTGTGCTATAAAATCCTGCCCCCCACTTGATGAGTGAGGAATTTGTGCACTTTATTGAGCACCTACTCTTCCATTCGAGGCTCGTGGGGGCACAACAGTGAATGAGATGAGGGGCTTCTTGCCTTCCTGGAACTTATATTCTAGCACCAGGGAGACAAGCAGTGAAATACATAAAGGAAAATCATTTCAAATCACGGTGAGGGTGAGGAGAATAAAAACCGAGTGAAGTTGCAGAGAGAAGGAAAGGCCAGGGAAGGCCTCTCTAAGGGGGCGGGGGGCGGGGCATTGGAACTGAGACCAGAAGGGTGAGGCGAGGCCTCTGAGGGAAATGTGTGAGGAGGAGCTCTCTCAGGTGGGGGAACAGTGGGGGTCTGTGAGGAATAGAGGGGGAGGGAGGAGCTAGAGGAGGGGAGCCCAGCAAGTGAGAGGAAGTGTGGAGCGGGCCACGCGAGCAGGAGACAGTGGCCATGGTAGAAAGTGAAGTGACTCTTACGAGAGGCAGGGGCCCTTTCTCACTCACGCCAACTCCTCAGAGCAACTGTGCTGCCCACGCCGTCTGCCATGTACTCAGCGAGGGTTGATGACCGAGGAAAGGCCCAGGCCTGGGCAAGGGCAGGATGGGCGGGTGAGAAGCGTCCTTGGTGGGTGGGCTCCAGCTTGGAGTCAGTGGAACCCTCTCTACTTTGCTGCAGGGCAAACAGGGGGCAGACCTGGGGGCCTAAGGGTTCCCCTCACACACACAGACAGGTTAGTGGTCCTAATCCCATGCCACCAGGGATGGGCATGGCTGCTAGTCACCGGTGAGTAGACCCAGCCGGCTGCCAGAGTGCCAGCAAGATTTTCCCAGGAGGGCGGAGCCGCCTCTTCTGCCCACCTTCTCACACTCCCCCTGCCCAGGAGAGTGTCGATCTTAATTAATGACCTCCCTCTGGGGATTTTGTAGGAATCCACTGTCTACGGAGAATTGCTGTTATATATTCTAAAGAGCCTATTAAGATTGTTCCCCCTTGAGAGGAAGGAGAGGCTTTGTGTGATGAATCAGAATAAAATCATAAACTTTGGACCTGGAAGATACTCTGGAGACAGTGTTACCCAACACTCTCACTGATGACAAGAGACGGAGGCTCGGGAATTATTTAATTCGGCGTTATGAAAAATAGTTGGTGAAAGCCTTTCTGGGAAAAAAAATAAAAACCGATCAACTACACTTTTCCTGACCTTGTAAACAGAATAATGGATCCTTTGATTGAACAGAGGCCGGCAGCAGATGAGAGCAGGGCTTCTGGTCTCTAGGAAGGGGGTGGTTCCCACATGCAGTACTTAAGAGCTAGATGCTCTTTTTTTTTTTTTTTTTTTTAGGTTTTATTTATTTATTTGACAGAGAGAGACACAGCGAGAGAGGGAACACAAGCAGGGGGAGTGGGAGAGGGAGAAGCAGGCTACCTGCACAGCAGGAATCCCGATGCGGGGCTCGATCCCAGGACCCTGGGACCATGACCTGAGCCGAAGGCAGACGCTTAACGACTGAGCCACCCAGGCGCCCCAAGAGCTAGATTTTCCTGGGCAAGTCGCTTCATGTCTAATTCCTCAGTTTCCTGATCTGTAAAATACAGGCAATAATGGACACTCACCTAAAGGGGTTTTGATGTGAATTGAATAAAATAATATAGCATATATAAAGTGCTCGTCGCACAGCGAGGATTCAACAAAAGATCACTGCTACTACCATCTGGGGGTCCAGACGCAGAAGACGCAGATCAGCAGTGATGCAGAGCAGATAAAAATGCTCGGGAATGGCAAGCTGGCCTTACAAATGGCACTACTGTTCTCTTGAGTTCAGGCTTCCATAACATCCCTCAAAGTTGAATTTTATTCATTACCCCCCAAAAGTTTATCTTACCATTTGCCTCTATTTCCTCAAAGGCAATTTCTGTTGTTGTTTTTTAAGATTTTACTTATTCATTTGACAGAGAGAAAGAGAGTGCATGAGCAGGGGGAGGGGCAGAGCGAGAGGGAGAAGCAGGGAGCCCCATGCAGGGCTCGATCCCAGGACCCTGGGATCATGACCTGAGCCAAAGGCAGACGCTTAACGACTGAGCCACCCAGGCGCCCCATGAAAGGCAATTTCTAAGAGAAAAATATTCTCCATTCAGTGAGACTTCCAGCATGTGAATTAGGATTTTACCACAGAGTTTTGACTTTATTTCACCAGCGGCCTCAGCACATCTGCCAGTGTGTGAACCTAGACACTGTTGCCATGAGAGGCAGGTTGGAGAAAGGTACCCAGCTTCACCCAGTGGTTGTAGGGCCCCATCCTTTGTCCCAACTCAACTCAACCCCCAGGGCCACATGGAAGATTTGTCAGATGACAGCTCATCTTATCCCACAGGCACCATGTTATGATTTCAAGTGAACTCATCGCTGGACAGTGATGTCTTGTTAGTCATTTCCCTCCTGGCTTCAGGGGGAGACTTCAGGCATGTGGAAGGCACCAGAAGCCCCATGCCCAGCAGCCACTGACTCACAAGCTCTGAGAACTGACTGTTCATGGTGACTCGGCATTGACTCGTCCCTTTGGTAGGTTCTGCAGGAGCCTGGCTGGGCCTGACCACGTCCTGTTCCTTTCCCCTCTGCTGAATGCAGTCCCCATCTTCATGTTAGGAAGCATCTTTTCAAAAATAAGATTAGAAGAGTAAGAGAGGAGAATTCTTTTAAAAAGATTTTACTTATTTGCTGGAAAGAGAGAGAGAGAGCACAAGCAGGGGGAGCGGCAGGCAGAGGGAGAAGCAGGCTCCCTGCTGAGCAGGGAGCCCGATGTGGGACTCGATCCCAGGACCCTGGGATCATGACCTGAGCCGAAGGCAGATGCTTAACCGACTGAGCCACCCAGGTGCCCCAAGAGAGAAGAATTAAGAGCCATTTCCAAGAAGGAATTTAGCTAGGAGAACCGAATCCTGTCTAATATCCTGGGTTAAAAAGAACCAGCAATGAACTACAAATGCAGTTGACTTTGGCCCTGAGGTCTATAGGGAAAACTAGAAAAAAAAAAATAGTCATGAATCAGCAGCACCAGCAATGTTTGCTTGTGAGCCCTTTTAGTCATGTGTAGGAATACATAATTCCGTCCCGGGGTCCCATGGAGTTTGCTTCGCGCCCGAAGGTGTGGAAGTTGGTAAAATACCAGCTCTGGCAGTTCTTGGGAAACAAAGCGAAGGAAACTCCCATGAGAGTGCTGTTTCTTGGAGAACCGTTACTCACCTGAGCCCTGGGTTCAGGTGGACGTTCAGAGTGAGTCTGCAAGGGCTCGTGGGGCACCTGAGCCCAGGAGCTGCTCAGTTGGTGCCAAGGCTGGGAGCCACGGATGTCCACATGGCCCAGGGAGAGGGCACTCAGGGGGGCCTTTGGACTTTGGGCAGTCGTTTACTCCTTCATCTTCTTTTCCCTAGCACCTGCTGTGCACCAGGCACTGTTCTAGGCACGGTGAAACAAGAGCAGTTTCTGTTGTCATGGAATTCACCTTCTTGTGGGGAGATAAAGACACCACACACGGAAGCAAATGCATTAAGAAGTTTATTTCAGAGTGGCAAGTGCTATGAAGACAGTAAAGCAGGGCGATGCATTGGAGAGCGATTGGGGGTGATGTTAGACCGTAATGTTAGTTGTGAAGCATCAACCATGGGAAGACCAGGGGAGCCTGATGCAGGCAGTAGAATCACCAGCACAAAGCCTCAGGGTGGGGACAGCTGTGGCCCCTTCGATGCACATAACAATGGCCAGTGTCCCTGGAGCCTCGTGAATTTGTGGCTCCTTTCAGATTTATCCCTGGCATGTTATGGCCCCAACGGCAGTGTCCATTCAGAGAGCCATCTCCTGGAGGCAGGGTCAGAAGGAGTGTCTCGAAATGCTTTGGAGACAAGCACAAATCATTGATGAGAGGACTAATCCTGCCCTCCTCCTCACCTCCACATCTAACCCACCATCAAGTCAGGGGGCTCATGCACCCTGTTTTCTCCTAGGAAGTCTACTTCTCTTTGTGTCCACCACCTTCACCCTGGTTCAAACCCCCAGGCTCTCTCCCCGGGTCTACTGGAAAAGCCTCTGAAAGTGGTTCCTCATGTATGGTCTTGCCCATCCCTGGTCCACTCTCCACACTGTGGTCAGAATGATCTTTTAAAACCTCAGATCTAGGGGCACCTGGCTGGCTCACTCAGGGGAGCATGTGACTCTTGATCTTGGGGTCGTGAGTCCAGGCCCCACACTGGGTATGGGGATGACTTGAAAATAAAAGCTTTAAAACAAAACAAAACAAAACCTCAGATCTAATCATGTTGCATACACCTCCTCCGTACTTTTCCATGACTCCCCGTTGCTGACAGGATTAGGACCCAAATCCCCACAAGGACAATCAAGGCTCTATCTGTACAGAACCCTTCTTTCTTTTCTAGCCGTGTTTCCAGCCATTTGTGGCTCCACTTTGTGCTCTAGCTACAGAGGCTTTCTTCCAGTTCCCCTAATATGCTGTACCAGTTTTGGCCTCGGGACCTTTGCACAAGCCTCAAGGGCTCTTAATCTCTTCTCCTTTCATGCACCCTGGCCTCAGCAACTTCTATCCAGGCTACAGTGTATCTGTTATGTCAGCAGGGACATCTTCCTTGTTCAACACTGTGATACTACGTAGGGTCTTTGGTTACATGTCCCCAGTAGCATTTCATATTTATCATCCTAGCTCTCAACACATTTCTATTTATTTGTGATGCCTCTTTCCCTGCACGAGGCCATACACTCCAGGAGGGCAGGAACCAATTCGGTCTTGTCCATGGTTGTATCCTCGGCACTTTGAAAGTGTCTGGAGCACAGTAGACACTGGATACATATTTGTTGAGGCAATGAAGGAAAGAGTGCTCATAAAGACCTTGACTCTTAAATGTTCCACTTGAATGTGCTACTTGCTTTCAACAAAATGAACTAACAGGAGACCGTCTGTATTTTCTGTTCCATTTCTCTACCCTATAGAGTTGGTGATTGATATCTGGAGTTCAAGAATAAGCATAGTGAGCAGGAATTCTGGCAGATGAACAACCTGCTTAGGAAGCCTGTTCTTGCCTTTGACTATCAGAACAGTGTTATTTTCTTTGGCCTGAAGGAGTCTAAGACTGTGTGTACTCAGGGAAACGGTGTAGACCTGCAGTGTGGAGCCGGGGCCAGGGGTGAGACTCAAATAATAATCAAGTGGAAGAGGGTTGTGTGAAGCCTGGTGGGGGACATTGCCTTTCTCAGCGGCTGAGGAATTGGAACATTCCCCCTTGTGTCAATGTGGAAGTGAATGAATTAAGTTCCGTTTTATGCCGTGCCTGGAAAAATACCAATGCTGCACTCACATAGTTTCTGCAAGCAAACCCCAAATGCCACTCAGTCTCAGCCCTATGAGAGACTGTTACAGGGGGAAAGAATCAACATTCACAGACTCTGGGAAATACCACTGAAGTGGAAAAAGATTAGAGCCGTAGATTTTTGCTTTTTTGAGGTTATGTACCCCTTTGAAAATCTGATAGAAGCAATGGACCCTTGCTCTCCTTCGTGCCCCTTGACCCTCTGCAGAATATATATCTGTATAACATCCTCTTATCCATGAAGACCGCTGGAGGGCCATAGCCTCAGGGTAAAAAATTCCAGTTAGTGGGTCTGGTTGGAAATTGAGCGGAAATAAGCTAGTAAGAGATGACATGGAAGCACAAGTTAGACAATGTTTGATTTAAAGAATAAAATAGAAGCACCCTGTAATTCGGTTTTTGTATTCCTGAAGTTCTTTGCTTTTTATTTTTTTTTAAGATTTTATTTATTTGACAGAGGGAGAAACAGTGAGAAACGGAACACAAGCAGGGGGAGGGGCAGGGGGAGCAGCGGCTCCTCACTGAGTAAGGAGCCTGATGTGGGGCTTGATCCCAGGACCCTGAGCAAGGCTGACGCTTAACAACTGAGCCACCCAGGCGCCCAGTTCTTTGCTTTTTAGAACAAGCTGGTTAGCACAGGGCGACCACGTGCACCAGAGTGAAATAAGGCAGACCTCTAGGGGCTGAGGGGAAGCCATTCTGAGTATTTTCCCAGATTTAGCCAACCACGGTGATCCATCCACTAAAATCCACCAGGCGGCTAGGATTTTAGTCTGTCCTGTTCACCACTGGTCCCCAGTGTCTTGTTCAGTGCTTGGCACGGAGTAGGTGCTCAATAAATACTCATTGAATGGCTGACTCAGTCTATCCTGGGTTGCCCCACTTTACTCTGTCTTCCTCTCCTTCATTTTGTTCTGGATTTATCAGATTTTGGTTTTTATTTATTTGTTTAAGAAATCTTTGTTGAGGTCGGTGATGTGATGGCATGTGTTAGCTGAATCCAAAGTTGATGCAAATTCTAAAATTACACTCAAACCTTAGGTAAAACAACAACAACAACAACAACAAAAACAATATTTGTCTTACCCTTCTAGTGGGCATTAATTGTCCCTAGGCATGGAATGACATGATATTGAAGAGCTCCTGCTCTGGGATTCATTACCCCTATGTTAAAGTCTCAGTTCTGCTGCTTGGGAGTGACGAAAGCCTCAGTTTCTTCAACTGTAAAATGGGGTGTGAGAATTACATAAGGTTATGCAGTTAGAGCACGTAGCATGATTCTTGACACACACCTACGTGTTGTTTTAATAAATGTCAGACATTTTTATTCTTACCTGGCTCCTCTGTCATATAGTTCGTTGGTTCCTTTAGGGTCCTCTTCCCTTTCTGAGCCCACAGTTCTGAACCCCAGAAACGGTTGCTAACTATACGGTAGGTCACGTGCAGCCTCTAAAAAGTCCCAGATATATTCAGTCATGGCAATACTTAAGGGCTGGGGACATTACTAATTTACTCCCTTCCTATTTTTCCGTATTTTTGATTTCAATTAATAAGCATCTATCACTTCATAATTTAAGGACAGAATAAGAAAAAAATATTGTAGTAAAAATGTGTTTATTCCACGTTGCTAAATTCAGAGGTAGAAAACAAGAACATTTCATTGTGTCTGGTCTGTAGAATCAATCCCAGGAAACCGGGAGGACTCGGTTTCTCCATTACATGGCCCAAATAAAAATGCCCAAACACAAGCACCAAGAAAGGAAGGCTGCATTCCTGGGTGGGCATGGATATGCTGTGCTGTTTGGTACATGTGGGTTTAGGAACAGGGGACTCCTGGCTTCATCTCTGAGCTTTCCCGCTACCCAGCTCCGTTGCAACTTTGGGAAAATTTCAGCCCCAGTTTTCTCATCAGTAAAGTGGGAGAGACAAATGGAGAGACTTTTCCTTACAGATTGTTGTGGGAATGAATATCGAATACTTCACACTTCAGAGGAAGTCTCGCATGCATTCTTGTTTTCTTTCTGTTTCTCCAATAGCATCAGTGACATCATCACCCTTTATGTTATACGTGTGTGCGTTTTGCACATGAGTGTGTCTATAAAAGTATACACAAGTGTCTGCACTTTGATGTCGAATCATCATCTCGGCCTGGTCATGGCCAAACTAGAGCTCTTGATTTCCCAAACCCATCCCGCCGGCTGCCCCTCCCTTAGTCTTCTGCACGTCAGGAAATGGCACCGACGCTCACTTGGTTAGTTGTTCTGCCTCAAAACCTAAGAGTCATCCTTCGCTCCTCTCCCTCCCTCACATCCCATATCCGGCGTGCCAACTCTGCTGATGTGTCTCAAAATCAGCCCCTTCTTTTGACAGCCACTGCCCCACCTCAGACAGAGCCACTGTCCCCTCACTACCGTGTGGGACAATAGTTCCTGCCTGCACCGGGTGCCCGACCCTATGACCACCCCCCCCCACAGGGGACCCCAAGTGAGTGCTGACACGCGTACCTTGGGCTGTGCCACATCCTTGCTCAGAACGGCCCCTGCCAGTGGTGGCTTCCTGTGATGCTGGAAATAAAACCGGGGTGGCTCACTGTCCTTCAGGTCTCTCTATTGGGCAACAAGCAGACCTCTTCTGACAAGGGCCAGGGAGTAAATATCTCAGGGTTGGCGGGCCACATAGTCTGTCACATCGCCATCAGCTTCTCCTTCGGTGTCTCCATCGCGGTCTTCATTTCTATCTCCATCTTTGTTTCCTTTTTCTTCCAGCCCCTTCAACGTGTCGTCACTGTTCTTAGCTCACGGGCTGACAGGAACACACTGAGGGCTGGCGTTTGCAGACTCCTGTGTTACGTGTGCTGGCCACGACTTTCCTCTCCAGATCATCTGCTCTCCCCGTCTGTCCTGCTCTCTGCTCTGGCTTCAGTGGTGCTCTCGCTGTCCTTGAGCAGCACCCTGACTGGGTTCTGCTCAGGGCCCTTGCTCTCCTATACCTCTACCCCTGATGCTGGCCCCTCAGGTCTGCTACGGGGCTCACTTGCTTCGTTTGCATCTCTGCTGGCAGGTGCCTCCTTGGAGAAGCCTCTCTGAGCTGCCTTTCTGTAGTACTCGCCGCCACCCCCACACTCCCAGGCACATTCTCTCCCTCGCCTGGCTGTACTTCTTCTGGTACTTACTGTACATTTCCTTGCCTGTCGGTTTTGCTGCCCTTGTGTATAATTTCCTGTCTTGTTCAACACTCTGTCTCCCCAACACCCAGAAAAGAACAGTGCACTTAGTGGTCATTCAAAAATATTTGTTGCATACATTAATAAATATAAGAACAATTCTGCCCTATAACTAGTTTTCAGCCCCTGCCATTCCACTCATCTGCAACAAGGCGGCCCTCTTTATACATTTTCCACCCCATTGCCGTGTCTGATAACGGTACCAAGCTGCTCTCTGCGTGACAGTGAGGCCTGTGAGAACCCACTGCCATGGGCTGTCGGGGTCTGCAGGACGAATCCAAGTGTGGACGTGGGTGTGGGGAGGACCAGTGGAGGAGGGGGAGCAAAGTCAGGCTTTGAAGGGAGGGGAACCGTCCAGCTCTCCAGGAAACTGATGTCATTGGAGCATCCCTGGATGATAAGCGCTCAGTGGAGCCCATGCCTAATATCTCTTGAGGAGGGAGAGAAGCATCTCTTACAGCCAGGGGGAGAACATTGAGATAAATTGTCCTTCCCAGGGACACACAGCCAAGACAGCCTGCAAACCACTTAGCGCAGACACTGAAGGGATGGTGCTTATCGGGCCCAGATGGGACATGGTGGAAAAAAATCTGGTATTTCTGGAGCCACTGAACAGAACATGGTGACTCCCAGCCCCAGGCACAAATCTCCCAGAATCTCCTTCTAAGGGCTTTGGGATTGGCAAGCTAGAGGAGTGCATGTGGAGCAGTCAGGTTTACACTCTCCCACCCCACATTCCCACCCAGCCTTGCTCCCATCCAGAAGCCTTAGGAGAAGTGGGCTTGGATCAGCATCACTGCAAAAGCGAGTGTAGGCCCCTTCCTGGGGGCATTGCAGGGGGCTACTCAGGAGGTGCACTGCAGGGGGCATCCTGTGGGGGTCTCCAGGAGGACTTGATACCATGCACCTTCAAGTTCTGGCTCAGGGTCAGACAGTGAGCCTTGGATTGGGCAGTGAGCCTGGCTGTACACTTACACACCAGGCAGGGACCAGACAAGTCCTGGCCCAGGAGCCAGGTCCGGGGGTGAAGACACAGAGGAATCTCTTCCTTGCATGCCCCTTAGGATAGAAACTGGGAGGCACGTGACAGGGGAGCCTGTGTACTGTCCAGATTGGGGGTTTTATGTCCAAGATCACACGTCCGCCTCTTGATTTTAGAAAATAAGATAGCCGTATGATATGAGAAGAAATGCAATGGTAGTATAAATCAAATTGTCCATCATAGCCAGGCCTCAGGAGCCCAAGGCAGGAGGTCAGATGGTCTGGGATCTGTTGATGGATCTGCTGTGTGATCTTGGACTAGTCACTTGACCTTTCTGGGCTTCAGTATTTTCACATATACAATGGTCATGGTATATCTTGATGTTGCCATCTCATGAGTTATTGGAATCAAACAAGAGAACAAAGTCTTTGTAAAGTTAGAAAGGCTCTAGTCATGTATAACTTGACCCCTAACCAAGTTGTATAAAGCAGTAGACCAATAGGAACGATAAAGACCCAATGAGCTTGGACCGGGTGCCTGCTACCGTGCCCCATGTTCGTGCATGTTTCACATGGGCCTTACTGTGGAGAGACTGGCACCGTTATCACTTCCATGAACAAACAGATGAGATCATAAGACACAAAGAAGTTACATAACTCACCCCAGGTCACACAGAGAGCCAGGGTGGACCAGACTCTGAATTAAAGCAGTTTGTCTCCGGAGGATGCACTGGGAGCTTGCACTGGGAGCTTGCACTGGGACCTTGAGGGCCTGTAGCCCAGATCTCCAACTTCCCAACCCAGCCCCCTACCCTTGGCTTCCTCGGGGAAGATAAGCACAAGTCTGTCCAATGAAAACAGACCCATCAGACCCGTCACTATCTCTTCCCTGCAGAGCGGTCAGTCCCTGCCAACCGCAGAGAGACGGCGGGGCCTTGACACAGCCTGATGTTTACCCGCTCCAGGAGCCAAGGGTTCCAGTGGGGATGGTGGAGCCCTGACAGTCCCGACAAGGAGGGGGACATGCCAGGGAGCGGGGCCCCCCTGGGTTCTGCAGATTGGGCACGTGCGGAGGAACTTCCCGGTCCAGGATGGGCCTCCCTCACTGCACAGTGAGTGGGTCTTGGAGAAACATGGCCCCCCTGCCTCTGCTTTCTCAAGGAACTCTCTGAAGGACAGGCTGGTGCTTTCCATGCCCTCCTCAGGAAGAAGATCAGGAAAGGCGGTCAGCGCCCCCTTCCCTGAGCCCCTCCTTGTGGACGGTGTGGCCAGGCTGGCAGCCCAGGGCCGGCTGCTCAGCTTGCCTGATGTCATTCCAAGGCCTTTGTCCTGGACGAGAGAAGGCCCGGGAAGCATGGGCACTGTCAAATATCTGAAGGGCCTCCCTGAGGCCGGCTAGTTCAGCGTGGCCTCGGTGGGGCACAGGGGGGAATGGCGGGGAAGAGTGCAAGGAGACACGCAGACATCTCCACAGAAGGAAGAAGAACTGCCCTGGGGGCAGTGAGCTCTCTCTCACTGCAGGGGTTCAGGCAGAGGCACGAGACCCTCTTGGTGGGGGCCTTGCCAAGTGGTGGTGTGCGCCCGGGGAGGGAGAGAACTCGGGGATCGGGAAGGCCTGCGCAGCCCTCTGTGAACCTCGTGGCCCTGTGAAGAGGGAGGGGAAGATGCGGGATGGAAATGGCCTGGCATCTTCCACGCAGGCGTGCCTCATGCTGCCCTTTCCCATCTTCACCCTGGACCTCAGCTGTCCCTCCTGTTCGGTCTTGGCCCTAGTGCCCTGCGATGCCAGGCCTCACTATTACTTTTTCTTCCTGGAATAACCGCTGGTCCTGCACCCTGCCCCTCTGTGCCCTGCTTGTTGCTGGGTGACGCTACTGGATAATGGGCCAGGTGACTCATTCTGGGGCTTTCTCAAGTGAGATGCCACTGCCTGGGTACAAAGCTCTTTCCCCTGGAGCAGTGGTTCTCAAGCTTTAGTGGGCATCAGAATGAGCTGCAGGCCTTATAAGACAACAACCACAAAGCACAGACTGCTGGATCCTACCAGAGTTCCTCTTTCAGTAGGTCTGTGGTGGTGTCCAAGAATTTCCATATGTAACAAGTTCCCAGGTATTGCTGATGCTGTAGGACCAGGGACTGCACTTTGAGAACCACTGCTCTAGAAGACCTATAAGGCCTTAGGACCATGGCTACAAGGCTATGTGGATTCAGACAAACCCATGCTGGAATTCCACCATTATGAGCTGTGTGACCATAGGTAATTTACCTAACATCTCTGTGCTTCTGTTAACCTGTTCTGGATACTGGTGATGGTACTACTTTCAGAGAGTTATTGTGAGGATTAAAGATGGTGATCTATATAAATAGCTTAGTGCCTGGGATATGCTAAGTATGCAAATGATCAGTAAATGTTAGCGATTCTTATTATCAGAGTAAGATGATGGCTATTTCAGACACTCCACGCCTACCTCAGTAGGACCGTGGTGTCAGAGCAAAGGCACACATCCTCCTCCCATTGTGCCCCCTGTGTAGAGCCAATCCCATTGTTATTCCTTACCATCTGCTCCATGCTGGAAGGATGGGGATTCATTATCAGTAAGGCCATCCTTCAAATCTTGGGTTTGTGTCAGGGGCCAGCCACACATTCTGAATGACTGGCTTTCAGTGTGACTCCACAGGAGCCTGCCTGATAGAAACCAGATTGTGTGTAGGACACAGGCGTGGGGTCATCTGAGTTCTCTTGTCATGTTTCTGTTGGAGCCCCAAGGCCCCCACTGTCTCATCACTCAGATCCTGTGGTCTTTGGCCTTATAGTTATAATGATAGAAGTGCAGGCTTAAGTCTCCTGCTGCAGGGTCTCAAAATTAAGGGAGCACATCTAGGGGTGGCTTCAGAGGGACTCAGGCTGCTTTGAATATCGCTGAAGAGGGGGACCTGCTAGGAAATACATCCTGGGTTCCACCTTGTGGGATACCGGTCCCCAAGTGGGTTCCTTGGAGTAGTAGCTTGAGAAGTGCTCTACCCAAAGGGCTCTACAGTCAAATAAATTTGGGAGTTACTCCATTTCCAATTGCCTGCTTAGAGCTCCAGGGTGCTCACTGGCATATGTAAGCTTCCCAAAAGTCCTACAGTGAAGACACATAGGTAAGGCTGTTGAACATACTCTAGTCTTTCCCATCAATTATTTTTGGGAAACTAGTTCTAGGAATTTATGGTTTTTCAAGGGCCTTCATATGCAGTATCTCACCTGATTTTGCTGCAGGTCACAGAGGTATTTAAAATACTATCTACAATTGCATGATCTGAGAAGGAATTCATGCATTTGATGGAAGTTTGTTTGTAGTGGCAGCAATCATTAAAACCAAGCAAAACCAAACAACGAGCAAAAAAAAAAAAAAAAAAAGACTGGGCATGGCACCTATTATTTGTAAAAACCCTTTCAGTGAAGTATATTTATTTTACTTTTGACCTTGGGCTCACCTTATGATTATGATGTCACTACACAGAGAGACGGAACAACACAGGTTAAGAATGTCGATTCTAGGGGCGCCTGGGTGGCTCGGTCATTAAGCGTCTGCCTTCAGCTCAGGTCATGATCCCAGGGTCCTGGGATCGAGCCCTGCATCGGGCTCCCTGCTCCGCGGGAAGCCTGCTTCTCCCTCTCCCACTCCCCCTGCTTGTGTTCCCTCTCTCGCTGTGTCTCTCTCTGTCAAAGAAATATGTAAGATCTTCAAAAAAAAAAAAAGAAAAGAATGTTGATTCTGCTGCTAAACAGTGTTTAAACCCAAGCAGTGTCACTTACTAGCTCTGTGACCCTGTGCAAGTTATTTAACTTTTCTGTGTCTGGTTTCCCATGTGTGAAGTGTAATTTTGACACCTGTAGCACAAGGTTACTATGATGATTCAA